ACTGATATAATGTGTAGGATGACAAGATCCAGTCCAATTTACAGATAGATAACAAAGTCCTAAGTAAAATGAGTTTACTAAGAGTTGAAAAATAGCTCAAAGACAATGAATGGGAGTAGAATCTAATAAGCCACAAAGGCATGCTATGGTTTTTGATTGAGACATAAAATTTCTCTCTATAGTCACCCCTACCTTTTTGATTCTAGCTTTACAAAATAAGTCTGGTCTCATTAGATTTGGCCTGATCATTAACATAAATGTGGCAAGAATGGTAAGTGACCACATAGGCCTTTTTAAGTTTGCTTTGCTGGAACTTTTTTTTTTTTCAGGTGGGGAGGGGCCAAGGGAGAGGGAGAGAGAGAATCTTAAGCTGGCTCCATGCTCAGTGCAGAGCCCAAAGCAGAGCCCAACATGGGGCTCAGTCTCACAACCCTGAGATCATGACCTGAGTCGAAATCCAGAGTCGGACGCTTAACCAACTGAGCCACCCAGCCGCCCCTGCTGGAACTTCTCATAAGGAATTTCACATTAGACCTTTAAAAGTCTTCTGGAGTCAAGCCAAGAACTTGCCACCAGATTTCACCTGCAATACCTATAGATTTGGGTGAATTCCTCTCTTCTCGAGATCTCCCCAAATCTAAGATTCCTGGGCATACCCGGAAGTGACCCTCCTTATTCACCTGTAAGGCTAGGAACCCTGTAAGCCAGGTACCAGACAGTTTTCTCAAGAGGGCTTTGCAAGCATTGGTTCCATAAAGTCAACCTTAGTTCCTTGAAACTGGTCATATCTGATTCTGTGCACATCATTCTCAAATATGACATTCCGATCAAAGTTTTGGTTATATAGGCAATGTTTCCAATTATGTCCTATTAGGAAGAGGATGGATTCTTATTGAACTTATGCCAATAATTATATTGCCATGGAAATAAAAATACTCAGTAAGAGTTTTCAAATTCTGGAGAGATTAGTTAGGGAGAAAAGATAAACGTTTCATTTCTGTTTATAAAAGAATAATCTACCAGTTGTTACGAGTATAGATAACTTAGAAGACAAAAGTGTTCCTTAAATCCAGCAGCCATATTCCAAACAAAAACCATAATTATCCTTCATCAGTTCACTCAGTCCCATGGAATTCATTCTTGATCTGCTTGATCTCAGGTTGGCAGTTCTATGAACCCATTCGCTTCTCCACTGGAGTTCTGAACGTCTTTTTTTTTTTTTTAAGTTATCTCTACACGCAACGTGGGGCTTGAACTTACAACCTTGAGACCAAGAGTCGCATGCTCCACCAACTGACTCAGCCAGGTGCCCCGAGTTCTGAAAATCTTGACTCAGTCCAGTGGTGTGGTCTCAAAATCACTGAAGCAATGCCATTTAGAAAAATGTGTCCCAGACTACCTGGGACAGTACTTTCCATGGGTCTTTGAGACTGTAAAATTTTCAGGAATTTTGTGAGTGGGTGGCCATCACATTGGTAAACCTGAAAATTGGCCAGAGTGGGCATATTTACACCACAGGAATCAGCAAATAAAGTCTCCCCTCACCACCCAGATCTGGTAGTTAAACCTTTACCAGAACAGCACTGGACACTTCCAACTCAGTTTGTCCCAGAGTGAGCTCCCTATCTCCTCCCGTAAAATCTGCTTCTCATCCTAAATCCCCAATGTGAATGTGAATGATGTCACCATAGACCCAGTTGTCAAATAAGACATCTCTGGAGTTGTCCATGGCTCCTTTCTCCCCACATTGCTCAGCCTATCAATCACTGAGTCTTGTCAACTCCCCCTCAGGAATGTGTTCCTGCACTAATCCTCTCTGTCAGTATCTCAGTTCACACTCTCATCATCTCTTGCCTTCACAACTGCAGTAACCTCTTGAGGGATCTGCTGACCCCCAGTGCATCTGGACACTAATTCCCATGTAATCTTCCCAAAACACCCCAGTGCAATCCAGGCACTTGCCATCATAAAGCCTACAGGTGGTTCTCCTTTAACTGTGGGAGAATGTCCGGGATCTTCAGCAGCACCCACAAAAGCCTGTGTAATGTGGCCACGGTCTTCTTCACACTCATATTCCCACCCCTCCCTACGATATACCCCATGGTCCAGTATGAATTGCTTCTCGTTCTCCCCAGTGTGGCCTATTCTTTCAACACTTTATGTTTTGGCCTATGTTATCCCTTCTCTCTGAAATCCTCTGCACCACTAAGAGCTTGGGGAATTTCTCCTCTTCTTTAAAGATCCAGCTCAGAAGGACACCTGGGTGGTTCATTTGGTTAAGTGGCTGTCTTCGGCTCTGGTCAGGATCCCAGGGTCCTGGGATTGAGCCCCGCTTTGGGCTCCCTGCTCAGCGGGGAGCCTGCTTCTCCCTCTCCCTCTGCCTGCCACTCCCCCTGCTTGTGCTCTCTCTCTGTCAAATAAATAATAAATAAAATCTTTTTTTAAAAAAAGATCCAGCTCAGAGTTAATATTCTTGGTGAATTCTCCCCAAAAAAGTCGGTCTCCCCCTCCCACCACACACACAGTCTCTTTGTGCCTCTAATATAGAACTAATCACACACGGTTGTCACTACCTGTTTTATAGGTCTGGCCCCTCACTATATTGTGTCTTCCCCCAGAAACCCGCACAGCGCTGACAACATAGTGAGAACGCCAAAAACGTTGAAAGAATGGATGGGAAGGTGAATGAATGGAGTTGATTCCTAGCCCTAAGAACTGGGCCGTTTCCTGGTTTGTTGTGTAAAGGCCCCAACCTTAAGGCCCTACTCTGGTGCTCCCAGCTTCTCATTCCTACCTTGGTGCCCTGTGTGACACCTTAGTCTTCACAAGACTCCTGCTTTATCCAGCTCTTGCCAAACCTTTTGACGTCTGGCATCCGAGTGCTCTGGAAGCCCAGGCCCTATGGCAAAGCCTCTTTCACTGGTTGCCAACTACCTGCCTGCCTGGACTTCCTTCTAGCGTCTGCTGCATTCCAGATGCTTGCTCTACCTGCCTGTCTAAACAGCTGGCTGGGAGCTGTGCAGCTGCTGTCCTGGGGTCTTCTGCTTTCCCCCGATCTGCCCTCAAAGCTTTGGCCAGCTCTTTTCTCACTTCCCCTGCATAAAAATGGAGTCCCATTTTTTTTTTTAATCACTGTCCAACCAGAAGATTAGGGAGTGCAGGCTGATTAAATTCATGGGCTCCAGACTCTAACTACCTAGATTCAAATCTCACCTCTTCCACTTACAGCCAGTTGCGTAATCTCGGGGCAAGTCACTTCTTCTTGAACCACAGTTGGCTCACCTGCAAAATGGGCATGATAACAATAGCTACATCATAAGGTCAATGTGAGATTTTTTTTAAAGGTTTTATTTATTTGAGAGAGAGAGAGGGAAGGAGGGAGAAAGAGAGAATCTGAAGCAGACTCCGTGCTGAGAGAGCGCCACGCGAGGCTTGATCCCACCACTGACGGACCGTGAGATCCACAGCCCGAGCCAAAACCAAGAGTCAGACCCTTTAATCAATTGCACCCCCCAGGCGCCCCAGGTCAATGTGAGATTTAAATAGGATGATGTGATTAATGTGGCACCTGGCACATAGTAAATACTCAATGACCATTTGGTCTCATTATTATTTGTATGTTTCCAGTATCTGGGACAGAGTTGGCACTCATCCAACGTGTGTGGAGAGGGAAGGAGGAGAAAGAACAATCACAGGCTCTTCCAGGTTTCCTAATCAAAGTCGGCTAATTCATCTCCCACCTCACGATGTAAATACATTATGGCCATTTGGTTCTGTTACTCGGCTCTTTCTGAAGTGCCCCCCTTCTCCAGGAACCCTTTGCAGTTGAGAGCCAACAGCTCTGTGCGTCCCCACCTGCCTCGCTCTAAAACTCTCACAATTGCCCACTCCCACTTTTCCCCGCAATTACACGCATTTATCCCAACGCCTTAGCAGCCTCCGATTGCACTGCCCCCAAGGTGGATCACGGGCGTGAACATCTCTGTTCATCATCATTGTGCCCCATCTTAGCCCACGTCCCTGCCTCCCCCACGTGTCCGTGCTTTCTGCATTTTCCGCGTCAGTCAGCTCCTGTTGCCTCTGATTGTGAGGGCGAGGACCGCGTATAAATGAATGAGAACAGCCAGAACCTTGCGCAGAGAAATGCTTCAGAACTGTTTCGTGATGGAGGGAAGGTGGAAGCAGAAGCTGGGGAGGGGATGGGATTTGTGTACCCACTTACTTTTCACCCCAGCAGGAGCAGAAAGCATGCCGCCTCTTTCCTGTTCATTGGCTACATTCCTCTCAGAGGCCAGTGGGGCAAGCCTGGACAATGCAAATGAGCCGTGGATGGGACTTAGCCAAGGGGCCTCCAAAGGGAGAGCAGAGGGGCTGGCTAGGAGGGACTAGAAAAGGAAGGTGCCTCCGTATTTCTCAGCACCTTCTTTGTTTCCCCAAGCGGCAAACTCCTCTTTTCTCCTAGAGACACAACAATACCAAAGTGCAAAAGCTCCCTCCGGAATAGATGCCCGAGTCTCAGAGCACTTCGCAGACTGGGTGGTCCCTGAGTGTCTAGCCTTTGGTATGAGACTCGGGCCCCGGGGAATTTGCTGTGTACCCACTATGCACAAAGCCCCGTACAAGGCGTGTAAAACCTGGGCGGAACTGGAAGCTTTCAATCACAGGCTCTCGCTGTGGCATGAGAGACACGGCAGAGAAGTGGTGATGGCTGTGTGAGCATGAAAGAGCAATTGAGCCCACGAGCGCCCAAAGGGGACAAATTTAGCCAGTTCCTTGCCAACTTCCTGCTAGAGATGTACTGGCTTCGCTTGACCTTACCCAGGAAAGCATGCTGTGAGGACGGGCATGGGCACAGCATGGCTAGGGGCCCTTGCCCAGGTGAAAGTCCATTCATTCACCTATTTAAGTGCACCGGGTCCGGGAGAGCTCCTTAGTTCAGTCTCAGCTCCCCACTTCCCTCTCCCCGCTCATTAACGGCTCCTGGTCTGCTTCCTCTTTAGGGCTGCGGTCCCCAGCGAAGTTGTCACAGGTGCCCAGCACAGACGCCCAAGACCCCACAGAAATGCCTGAAAACCCCCCATCCTAACTGCGCCTCCCTGGACTGCTCCCTCGGCAAGGCCGGCTCTTGGGAGCCGGGCAGCTTAACCTTTGCTAGGAACTCGGAGCTGCCTGACGTTTAGAAATTGAACGGAAACAGAGGCACAAGCCCTGCTGGCGTCTCTCCCTCACCCACCCCCATCATGTGAAAGGAAAAGCTGAAAGAACAGTGACGGGTTAAGCTCCTTATAAGGAAGTGAACCTCCTCTCTCCTCCCGTACGGCCGTCGTTTGGAGCTTCTATATGTTTTAAGGTACACTGCACAAAACGATCCCCGCCAGGATTCGCCAAAACCATTCCCCCAGGGGTGGGGGCCGACGAGGAGCCAAGGAAGAAAGGACGGGCGGGGCAGGGAGCAGGAAGGCGACTGAGCGAAGAAGCTGAGGGATGAGTCATCAAAAAGAATCCGGGCAAGGGAGCGGAACTAGTCATCGGAGCTGGGAAGGAGCCGAGCATTCATTAGCCGCGCGCGCTGTCAATCACGTTGGCTCCGCAAATGCCCTGAGAGCCTTCGGGGGCCTCCCGGACCGGAAATCGCCTCTCGGTGGGCGGTCTAACGGCTTTGAAATCGGAAAAGACCGAGCGCCGGCGGCCGGCAGGGGAGTCTGGTGCGGCACAGGCGGGCTTCTTGGAAACATGGCGTTTGCCATCAAGGTCACATGGCCACCTTAGGGGACTAAAGGAAATACCAGCTGAGAATAACAGGCGCGGCCCCCGGAGCATCCAGATTTTCAGAAGCAGTCGCAAATGCAGATTTTCCCCCTAGTCGACTCCGAAGCATGCTCGTGTTTGTCGGAAGACATGTCCTAAAATACAAAACATCAAAACGAGATGTGGAGTTTCCCTGGGGCTCGCCTCCCTCTAGGAGCGGGAAACGGTGGGGGGAGCCCAGGGGGGGCCCGGGATGACTGCAGAACCAGAAGGCAGCACCTGTGCTCTCCCCGGGGACGACCAATCTCACCAGATCTATGTTGGGCTAAAGGCTGAGCAGCTTGGGCTAACCTCTGACTTCTCACCTGTTTTTTGAGAGGTTGCCTTGAACATTGCACCAGAGAAGTTCACCAACAGTTGGGCTTTAGTTGAGCCAGGATAGGATAAGAAATGCGAGTTAACCCATAAACTCAGCTGTTTGTGTGTTCTTTTGTTCGTATTCTTCTCCCTTAGTCTCCTAGCAGCTGTTACTGTTGCAGCTACACGGCAGGATAAAAGGGATTCGTTAAATTCTGGGCCTGTCCGGATAGGGGGCTGCCACTCCTGTCGCCCTGTATTGTAGAGACCTGGGAAGAGCTGGGGCATATAAAAGTAGTGACCCAAGAATGGGATCATTCCAGTCTGATTCCTTCCCATTGCGCTTAGGCCCACGATGCTTCACACTCCCACCCACAATCCAATCCAAACTCCAAACTGAGAGCTGGCCCAGGATTCGTCAGCACTCAGAAGAGCCTGCAAAGGCAATGCCCTGAGAGGGTAGCACACAAAATCAGACTTCAGGGAGACCTGAGATGGATTGTTGTTTTTTTTTCTCATTAGCTCCGTCTTGTCCTTGCCCAGCTCTGGCCATCCCAATTCAAGCTGCCCCCCTTGGTCTACCCTCTGCTATTGCCCCATTGTGAGGCATCATCAAACTAATCTGGTTTCAGTTGTACTGATGGCTTGGAATTGATTCAAGAACTGGGTTTGAGGGGAAAGGGGGCCACCATCTCTTCTATTGTCTGAGGCCCTGGTTCTCCCTCCCTTCCCCTTTCAGAAGGGCTGTAGGAAGCCTAAGTGTAGCCTCAGGGAGTGGATTTGTTTTGGAGGAGCTTGCGCTTAGTCATTCTAGAACAGTAGAGCCCACTGGGGGGAAACAACAGGCAAACCTGAGCACGTGGAGGAAGCCGACCCTTTCACCATGACTCCCTTGGTCACCCTAGGGACACACAACAATTTCTCGTGGTCAGGTCTGAAAGAGAGCTTCTATCATCTATTACAGATATTCAAGCCATCATGAGAGTGTGTGTGAGTGGGCGGTGGGTGGAAGGAGTGGGGACATGGCAAAATACACATTCCTAGGGGTACTCTGAGGACAAGAGCAACTTTGGTGGCAGAGGAAGGGACGGCCATGAGGCCTGGAGTAGCACTTGCCCTTTCTCCCTCTCCTTTGCCCTTACGGACCCCCCGAGTGCCCCCCGACGGCTAGTTCTACCCTAAGGGAAGGAAGCTAGCCCTATCCCTGGATGCCAGGCGGCAGTACAGTGCTCTAAGCTTAGGAAGGAGGCTGCTATGCCAGTGTGCTATATTCTGTCTCTGACACCAGGTGGCACCAAATTATAACCATAACTCTGAAGAAACCGTCAGGAACTGGACCTTGAGAGCCCTTGAACTATTTTCCTCTCCCTCTCTGCTCCCCACATGGAATGGAAGAAGAAGAAGCCTTTCCGATACGGTGGCTAGCTCTCCCTCAGTGAAGACGCTCGAGTCCCTAAGCTAGAGCCACTGCCACGTAAAGATTTCTAGGATTTAGTCGTGGCCTTGGTCTCTGTCCTTCCTGGAAACCTATGTCTCAGCGCAGAGAAGGAAAAAGGTGATTTTCCTGGAATCTTTCCAGATGCCTCCACCCTTCTGCAGAAGAGTTGTTTTTCTCCAAGGAAGTCATAGCTGAAGAATAACACATGAGACCTAGAAGGCTCTGCTCAAATGCTGATCCCCGCTCAGAAGGGCTACATGCTCTGTTGTGGGTACGCTGGGAATGAGCGTGTCTATCGAAGTTAACCATGTTGCCGACCAGACCAGCCTCACTGCCTCTTACAGGCAAACAGGACTGCTTCCGGCACCTCAAACACATTCCATAACTTCCCACTCCTAGGCTCCTCCACCCAAAATGCTGTCCTCTCTCAGCCATTCCTGTTGGTCTGATCCATCCCACTTGTCGAAGTGCAGAGACCTCCAAGAAGCCTTCCTTGATTTCCTCCAGTCTGAAGGGACCTCCTGCTCTGCTAAGCCGCCATAACAAGTTGTTCCATTTGCCCTATTCTTCTACTTTATATTATAGATATCTGTGAACATATCTCCCCTACAGGGCACCTAGGTGGCTCAGATGGTTAAGTGTCTGCCTTCGGCTCAGGTCGTGATCCCAGGGTCCTGGGATTGAGTCCTGCATCGGGCTCCCTGCTCGGCGGGGAACCTGCTTCTCCCTCTGCTTCTCTCTCTCTCTCTGTCTCTCATGAATAAATAAATAAAATCTTAAAAAATAAACAAAAAAAACCCAAACATATCTCCCCTACAAAATCGTGAGCTCCCCAAGGGCAAGGGCTATATCTTGTCTTTGTTTACTTATTTTTTATTTTTTTATTTTTGTCTTTTTTTTAAACCCTGTACTGACGAACACGGTAGGCACTCAATTAATAATAATAATTATTATAGTGTCTTACATTCGTATGGTGCTTACCGTTTACAAAGCACATTTATATCCATTTTCCCATTTAATCCTCACAACGGCCCTGTGAGGTAGATGTTACCATCCCTATTTTACAAATGAGCAAACAGACTCAGGGAAGTTAAACAACTTTCCCAAGGTCATACAGCTAGGCAGAGGCAGAGATGGGTCTGAATGCACGTTTTCTTTTTTAAAAATTTTTATTGATTTATGTGTCAGAGAGAGAGCGCGCACCAGCAGGGGGAGCAGCAGGCTGAGGGAGAAGCAGGCTCCCTGCTGAGCAGGGAGCCCGACGCGGGGCTCATCCCAGGACCCCAGGATCATGACCTGAGCCGAAGGCGGCTGTTTAACCGACTGAGCCACCCAGGAGTCCCTGAATGCACATTTTCTGACCCTAAATTCAGCCTTCAACTTCCTGTATCTGAGCTGTTGGCTGGAAATTGCTTCATGGAGACTGAAGCCATGGGGCTCATCGTGGGGACTGGGGAAATAGGAGATCTAAAGGTCAGGCTCCTCTTATTTGCTTTCTGCTCCCTTTTCTCCTCACTCCCTTGTTCCCAAAGAGGATTTCTGAATGTGATCTTATTTTGTTTGAGAATGTCCTGGTGTGAGATGTCCTTGTGGAAAATGTGGGGTGAAGACTGGGCAGTAAGGTGTATTTGCAGCCAGTGACTAATGGATCTTTGTCAGCCTGGAGGGAGGTCCCTGGTCTGTCCGATAATTTAATTAACAACTTGGGTCAGGACATCAATGGCATGCTGATCAAATTTGTAAATGACAGGAAGCTGGATTCCGGAACATCCCAGGAGGCCATAATGAACCAGGAAAATGAAATGTAAAGTTTCACAGTCTAGTTTGTCACAACCAAATGCTTCAGTGCAAAGTAGGAGAGACCTGCCTTAAGAATAATCTGTGTGAAAAGGTTTCAAGAGTTGGTGGCACCTGTCAAGCTCATTATTTTTGACAACAACTGCCCCAAATGCTCATGCACTGGAGGCCAGGATGCAGAAGGTCACAGTTGTGCTTTCTTTGCTGCTTATTAGACTACAGTGGAAGATGGTCTTCGGCCTCAGACACTACATACGAACAGGGGCATTAGCAGCCTGGAGCATGCACGAGAGACGGACACCAGGAGGGTGGGAGGATTAAAAATCGTCACATGGGAACTACTGGAGGCGTTTAACCTGGAGAAGGGATCCCCAGGATGATGGCAGTGGTTCAGGAACCAGTTTTCAAATATTGGACAGTTTGTAATATAGAAGAGGGATCCACCTTGTTTTGCTTTGGAAGAGGATTATCATTAGGAGCAAAAGGGTAACTGCCATGGAAAAACATATTCGGACTCACCCCAAGGAAGAATTTTATAAGGGGTTTGAGATGCTCAAATATTGTGCAATGGTCTGCTTTGAAAGAACAAGATTTTCGCATCACTGTAGGTATTTAAGCAGAGGCAAGATAACTATTTGGCAAGGAGGTTGCAGAAGGGAATCAAACATCAGATCATAAGGGAGGGGAATTAGGCAACCATTAAGGCTGCCTTTGACACTGTAATTTTGAGATTGGGGGGTGGGTGCTGGAGGTGAAAATAGTCTTAGCCTTCAGAGTAGGTACCTCTTAACCTGGTCTTATCTCTGTTTCTAGTCTCTCCTCCTCCAGCCAGCCCTGCACCTGGGCTCCAGAAATATTTTCCTGGATACCTTACCATGAGACCTACCAGCTCAAGTATCATAAAATCTCAGTAACCCTGTCATCTGGTTTGAACCTTTATCAGATACTTCCATTGCCTTTGCATCATCCATATGGAGTGGTTGTCCAGTGGCTGCTTGATTATCTCTGGAGCTGCCTACATTTCGGGGCAGCCCATTCCAATTCCAGAGACTATTACTAATCATTAAAAATTTCTTACTAAAAACAGCAATGTGCTTATATTAGGATGCTGAGCTTAGGATCTTTTTTCTCCTCTGTTTTTAAAACTGTTGGTAATAAATTCTACAAAGGGGAGGCGGTGCCTGGGTAGCTCAGTCGGTTAAGCGTCTGCCTTCGGCTCAGGTCCTGATCCCGGGGTCCTGGGATCGAGCCCCACCTCGGGCTCCCTGCTCAGCGGGGAGTCTGCTTCTCCCTCTCCCTCTGCCTTCCACTCCCCCTGCTTGTGCTCTCTCCTTCTCTCTCTCTCTCTCTCTCTGTCAAATAAATAATAAATAATAAAAAAAATTCTACAAGGACTTCAAGAGGCTGGAGTCATAAGCTGAAACTTTTATTATCATTTTTTCATTATAAAAAAAGCATCTTCCTTCTGTCGAACCCAAGTCTGCTTTCCTCTCACTTTCACCCATTAGATCTAAGAGCCCTTGGAGTCATGCACAGAACATATCTGCAGCTTCCTCTTCCCCGTGAGCCCAGTCATTATTTGCTG